TTTCTACACCCCAAATCCCAGTTTCTCTTTCCTTTTGAACAGTTTCTTCCAATTTCTCAATATCTGCTGTATATTTTGGATCACATTTACTCTTCCAGCTTTTCATATTAGGGAGACAATATGCTGTTTACACATGTGCATCTGGTTTATTTCACTTAGGGGTATGGTCTCAAACTGTAACCATTTACCTAGAAAAGTCTCCAGGTTATTCTTCTTTACAGCTGAGTAGTACTCCATTGCATAAAAATACATTTTGGGCAGGCGAGACAGCTCAGTGGGCTAAGTGCCTGCTTAGGGAAACACAGGGACTGGGGTTCAATCCCCCGCACCACATGCTGTGCTGGCCCCACTCCCCAGGCACACTGAGCTAGCTGCCAAGACTGGGCGTGGTGGCACACACCTGTAATCCCAGCGCTGAGGTGGCTGAGAACAGGAGGATCACTGAGTCCAAGTTGCATAATGAGACCCTGTACTAAATATATTTTTAAAAACAATTTTTTTAAACCCACATTGTTTTATCCATTCCTCAGCTGAAAGGCATTTGGGTTGTTTCCAAGATCTAGCTATTACAAATCTTGCGGTTATAAACATGGGTGCACATACATCGCTGTGATACGATGTTTTCAGTTCTTCTGGGAAGATACCCGGCAGGGGGAGAAACCCAGGGGAATAGGTGGGTCAAAGGGGACCTTCACGCCTAGGTTTTCTAGGAATCCCCACACTAATTTCCACAGTGGTTGCATGGGTCTCCAGTCCCACCCACAGTGGAGGTGGCTTCCTTTTTCTCCACAGCCCTACCAGCGTTTATTAGTGGCAGATTTCTTGATGATAGCCATTCTTTCTGGGGTGAGAGGGAATCTCAGTGTTGTTTTAGTTTATATCTCTCAAATGAGCAGCGATGTTGAACATTTTTTCATATATTTATTTGTTGTTTGCATTTCTTCATCTGGGAAATGTATCCACCTCAGACGCCCATTTTTGGACTGGGTCTTTAAACTTGGGAGATCTAATATTTCTGAGTTCTCTACATGTTCTTTTTTTTATGTATTTGGTACAGGGTCTACAGGGTCTCACTCCGTAGATCAGACTCGTAGTGATTCTCCTATTTTCAGCCTCCCAAGCTCTGGGATTACAGGCACATGCCAACATGGATGTTTATTACAGAATATTATCATGGTTTTTCTATTTCACTATTGTTGTTAATTTCCTATTTTATAAATTAAACTTTATCAAAGGTATGGATAGAAAACAACAGTATACACAAGGCTCAGTCTTCCTGGGTGTCAGACATCCACTGGAGTGTTGCAGCTCAAGGGGGGGGAAGGGGGTCCTTCAGGAAGCTCTTTCTAATCCCTCTAAGCTGAACTTGATAAATAGTATGTTAACCCAGCATTTTCTCATCCACTCTTATTATTCTGTTGCTGTCTTCCACCCTTTCTATCTAAATAGATGCTAAACTTAAATTTACACAATGAAAGAGAGAAACCATCGCTGCTGTGTGCAATACAAGATGCACAGGAAATATTTGTTGAATACAGGACAACAAGGATCCAGCGGAACCAATGAACCACCTGCCAGGCATCTGTCAGGCCCTCCCAGGCCCCTTCCAGTTAATCCTCTCCCAGGACTTCTTCTGCAAACCTCCTCCAAGCCCTCTTTTCTTCTCTCTCACAGGCTCTAGGAATTCTGCCCTTCTTCCTCTGCGATGGCCGCCCACACATTCTCTCCTATTCCATTCCCTTCTCCCCTAGTTCACCTGCTGGGGACCTGCAGCTCCCCCAGGAAGATGAGTCCCTAAGCTTTCTAACTTACAGGACAAAAGTAACACTGCTGACCAGGTGGGACAAAAGTAACAATCACTGGTGTGGAACTTCTCAGTGTCTAGTGGCTCCTGGCTCTGCAGATGGTGCTTGGAAGGGTCAGCACCGTGAGGGGAAGGCTCAGCAAAAAGCACTTCTATAGTGGTTTCTCTCCTCTGCACTGTGGCCAAGAAAAACACGGGTGTCAAATGAGAAAACTGAGGTAACACTCATTCACTCCACCAGGACCACAGAGAAGGAACAGCCTGCCCTCATCACAAAGCTTCTATTTTCTGGATCAAAGCTAAAAAGGGCTGCAGCACACCCAGTGAACACTGACTTCTCTGAAGACTCAAGTTAGGATGCTTAAATAAACATGGAGATCTCAGGCTTTCCCACAGCGCCTATTTAATGTCTCTCACAGATAATCCTAAAACAGTTGTTGGTCTGATTCCCCAAATTAAAACAAAGACAAATGGCAGGCTCAAATCTGAAAACATGGCACTGACAGACGTCCAAGCAGAGAGCGTTTGCAGACAAGGGCCCAGACACTGGGAAGGAAGCGTCACCGCAGGGGACACCGAGGGGCCAAGGACAGGAACTGTGGGCAGAATCTCTGGAGTAATCACGCATTCGGGAACAATTTCCATCGAATTCCACACAAGTCTGGCTCTTCAATAGCTAGGTCACCTGGTAGGCTCACTTACATTTAATTAACTCGATCTTCAACTTAGTGACCCCCAAACAGAGCAAGAACACCAAAATGCAAGATTCACAGAAAAGAATGAAATCTCATCTATCGTAACAGATTTGTATCAAAAGCATGGCTGTAAAATATGATGCACATAAAAATGCCTAAAGGCCCAACTCGCCAATCATTTCTCTGAACTAAATCCACATACATTTTATTCTACATCATCAAAGAATTCTATATTTGATCCACACTGTTTTGTTTTGCGGCCACTGCAAAGTAGTAATTTGTGCCTCTGGTCAGTATTAAAAGATGTAAGGAGGGGCCAGGATGTAGCTAAGCAGAGAGTACTTGCCTAAGATTCATAAAGCCTGGGTTCGATCCTTAGCCCCCCCACCAAAAAAAAGATAAATGGAAAACAGGGCAAACAAAATTCACTCATATTTATTGTGGAGACATGGTTGCTCAGGTTGCCTTTGGAAAGAACCACAGAGAAATTTCCCTGGGACCGTGCCAAGTCCAACTGGGCTTTTCTTGATTTACTGGCTTGTCTTGCCTCATGAGCAATGTAAATCTCGTGTCCAGCAAAATTGTTTTTCCTTTTTCCCTCTGGCTACCAGGAAACTTACAGCCAAAACTGAATGCAAGCTGTTACATCTAAATGGAACCTCTCAGTATGAATTTCTATTTATTAATTCTACTTCTGTCCTCATAGTACCATCTGATTCCTTTCTACCTCACTGTGCTGGGTGCATTCCAGGAAATCACTCAAACTCTGTGCGGAACAATGAGAGAAGGGAAGGAAAGGGAATGATGATTGGAATGGGATGCTCGGGCTTCACAGAGATCAGAGCCACACCTGTCCTTCTCTTCCAGGGCCAGAGCCACGTCCAAGTCGCCTGCACGCATCTTCTGCATTTCTGAAAGCTTGCCTTCCACACTCAGCCGAAAAGCCTTCTCTGTTTCTGTCCCTGCAAAGGCCTTCTCCAGTTCTGCTTGAGCGGCTTTCACTTCCTAGAGTTAAATTAAATGCATTTGATGCAATTTTTCAATACAATTGGGAACATTTTGAAAGGAAATTGGATTAAAATATAAATATTTATGACTTTTTCTCCGGCACATTTCCCCTCCCTGAATTGCACTATACATGGAAAGAATCAGTAATAAATACATTTGCCAGCCATTTTTCCCTCTTGTATCCTGAAGAGTAATAGGTATTTCCAATGGAAAAGACTCAACTCTACAAAAATTGTACTTTTGGTTTTGAAAAATCAGATCAATATTTACAGCTTCAATGAGAACAAGGAAAAAATGCACTTCTCAATACTAAATATACATAAATTCCAAACAGTCACCTTAATCTCCATACGAATTCATCCCACACCCCACCGCTCCCCTATTTCTTTTTAAGATAATGACTACACAATTCTAAAGTACATTTTGTATATCTCCAAGGAGATTTAGGTGGTGAAAAATTCTATGTTCTTCCTGGGAGCTCAGCCACCAAGAAAATTACCTAAACCACACAGGCAGTGTCTGCTCTGGAAAAGAACTCGATGCTTATGCAAGGGCCCGGGGAGGCGGCCTGCGTCCCCAGCACTCAGGCCCACTGCCTGGGACTGCATCATGAAGATACAGTCCAATCCTAGTGGGCCAAACGGCAGCTCCCCTCTTCACCCATGACAGCTCTGAGGCACAGCGCCCAATCTACACAGCAGGGACAGCCACTTTTCCACCACAGGGCTTCCGTGACGTGCTGTCAAAAACCTATTGCATCACAAAAAGCTCCAAGCCACTGGCTTCCTTCTCACCACCCTTTCCCTGCACAGCGCCTCCTCAGCAAGCTCACCAGGAGGTTTACCTGTCAGTCTCCCTCAAAGCTGGGAAGATACATCTCCTACACTCCAAGACAGCAAACAGCAAAGCCCATCATTCACCGAGTGCCTACTAAATGCCCAGTTCTGAGTAAGGAGCCTTATTTATATCAGGTTCGATGCTCACCCAACCCTAAAACATTACATACTAAGACAGTATTGCAGCATACAATGCAGGTCAGCAGTCAGGCCACCTGACAGTTACTGCCCACACAGCCTTGATCACGGGATGTAGCCATTTCGTGCCTGTTTCTTGTTTTGTTTTGTTTTTCATGGTAACAAAGTTTTATTAAAAGTAGGAAAAGAAACAGACTCGGCAGGGCAAGTTTGGCAGGCCAAATAAAAGGAAAAAAATGCATCCTACAGCATGAGGCCACATTCATCACTATCTAGCATCTGTTTAAAACAGAGGGGCCAGGGGAGATAGCTTAGCAGTTCTAAGCACCTGCCTGGCAAGCACAAGGACCCAAGTTCAATCCCTGGTATCATAGGCCATGCTAGCACCAAAACCAGGCATGGTGGTGCACATCTATAATCTCAGCACTGGGGAGGCTGAGACAGGAGGATCACTATGAGTCTGAGCTGCATAGCGAGTCCCTGTGACAAATAGAAAAGATTTTTAAAACTGAAAAGAAAAAAAAAAAAAGGGAAAGGGGTGATGGAAGTATTTACTTCATGAGTTAACAGAAAAGGCTGACTGAGTCTGCATATATAGAGGCCCAGGAGGCGCCTGTGCCAGCAAGACCCACGCCAACCTATGAGAACCCCTCTCGCTAGGGCAGTGACTACTGCAGAGCAGGTGCAAGTCCTCGTGTCGTGGGAAAGAGGCAGAGGCTCAGGGAAGGCCAGTGCCTCACCCACGGTGGCACAGACAGCAAGTGACAGAGCACAGGTAGGTACCCGGAAGCACCAGGAAGCGTTTCCTGACAAAACCAGGGCATCATTGGCTCCATAGGTTACAGCTCTGGAAAGCATCACAGTTAACTAAACTCCAGAGGACCCCACCTTGGGCACTAGTTCTGTCACTTAAGACTTACACCATTTTTCATCTCTTTCTGAACCTCAGTTTCCTCAATTGCACTTTGGTCCTACCAGCTAACTGCGCCCCAGGGAAGCAGACAAGGGCTGACACGCACATCATGAAAGCAAAAGTGTAAGCTGAAAAACCCTGGATCTGCCTTTTATTTCCCAAAGTGCTTTCTGTTGCCATTACTCTTGTATATACTAAAAAGAACCAGAGTCTCAAGTAGAAAAACTGAGATGAAACAACTTGAAAGACTAAAAATTCAATAATCGGTATAGGTTGAGCACTCTAATCAAAAAAATCCAAGCTCTAATTAATGCTCCCAAAGCCAGCTGGAGGGGCAGGCTCCACGGCTGGACAACAGCAGCTTACGTCCTCCCTTTTCTCTAGGCCTCAGCTTCTTTGTCCTTACAGTAAAGGAACCAAACTAGGTAGCAGTGTGCTGCTGCAGAATGAGCACAGGCTTTAAAACAGCAGTCACAGCCTTCAACCCCAGGTTACTGGGCCCTGTCAGAACTTCTCTCCATGCCTCAGTGCCCTCAAATGGGAATGAAGACAACAGTGGACAGTTTGCAGGGTGCGAGCAAGGGTTACAAATCACATATGTGAAGTGCTCAAATTAGGGCTGGGGCCCAGGAGATACTGAACAAGGGAGAGGGGGTTGTTGTTTCGGCTGAAACAGTTTATGGAAGAAGGAATAAGACTGTGTATCCAATTATTAATCCACTGCAACGTAAGCCACGCAGGGCCCGCGGACTGCCACACTTGCCCCTTCGAGGAGGAGTATCTTTTCGATCAGGCGATCTTCCAGCTGCTGCACCTTCTTCTGAGCCTCTTCTTTCACCCGCTGAATCTCAGAGCCGCCCCCTTGAGCTAAGCTCTCAACTGCTTTGCTGCAGAAAGAAGTAAAGGGCAAAACACATGATGGTTACAGTCTCACAAGCCAAAGACCCCAGGGACATCTGTATCTTGAAACCTTGTTCGGAGGTTCTAGCAGAAGAGTGCAGCCACTCACACATCCTTGACAGGAAAACACTCCTCCTTGTGTCGTCCCCTGTAACGGAGCTTGCAGCTCCAGGAGGGACGCACGTGCAGTAGCGAAGGAGGAAGAGGACACCCACCCAGCCACCCACCAGCCAGATCAGCCCTGGTGATCAACGAGGTGGTGAATGTCACTGCCAGACCACCCTCATGCTCAACAGAGGATATTTATTAGTCATTTCTCCCATTTTCTTGAGCCAAACTTTTTTAAAATGAATATTTATAATTGAAACATAGATAATAAAAAGATAAAAAGCATGCATAATTTTGTCACTCAGGAAACCAAGTCAATATTTTAGTATAGAGCCTTTCAGACATTTTCCCCAAAATTAAAGCCATTTAGTATATGCCAACAAACTGACTTTATGACTTACTTATCACTATTAAGTATCCTTCTATGTCAATAAATATAAATCTATATCATTTCAAAAGCTACATATGAATTCACTGCATGAAATATACTCTGATTTATTCAATCAATTCTCTATATTTTAAATTGCTTCTGATTTAACATAGTCACATGATGAAACTTATAAAGATCTGAGAATAATGACTGGTACAAAGTAAGCATTCAATAAACATTAGTGTCACCGTTTAATTCAATAAGCACTGCTATGACAAAAGCATCCCTGCATGTCATCTACCCGGTGACTTCTTTAGGATAAACTCCTAGAACAGCCATCCCTGGGTCACAGGGCAAATGCATTTACTTACAGCCAAATTCCCCACTCTTGCACCAGTGGAGGAGGAAAGGTGGTTTGGCAAGCTGATGCACAAAGGAACAGCATACAACAAAAATAAATTTACAAGATTAAAGATTCGTATGCTTTACCTTGTACCAACTGGAGGGCAAAGCATTCTAACAACAGCGCCATCAATCTGTTTGAGCCCAAGCTACCATTCAGGGCACGGAGAAGGGAGATTACGCAAGCCTCCTGCGCTCAGCTGTCACATAAAATGTAACATACACACCTAAAATATTCCCCGTGCGTGACGGGCAGTGCTAGGGATGGCAGGGACACAGACACAGGGCCACACTCACCGACGCCCTAGGTAAGACACTGCCGGGTGTGAGTCTGTCAGGCTCACACACTAAGCAGTGTGCACCAGATTGCTAAATGACTGCAGGTTTCCAGAAAACAGGATAACAGAGGAAATGGCTCCACCTAAAGCTAGCTTCTCAGAAAAACTGCAAGAGAAAAGGATCTCTTCACTGGGAGCCTCCTGTGCCCTACGTCAGGGGTATGTAAAATGTCCCCAACCGAGAGCTGTGTGACCAGACATTCACACATCCAGGCCACATGGACTACTTACTGAAAACAACGGAAAACCAAGAGGGTCATGACTTGCCATCCATGTCTCAAACACGAGTCACCAGCAAAGACTTTATTCACATCCCTTTTCCTATTGCTAGCAAAGATTCAAAAGGCCCAGTTTCAGTTGGGCATGGTGGCTCATGCCCGTTATCCCAGTGCTCGGGAGGCTGAGACAGGAGGATCGTTGCAAGTTTGAGACCAGCCTGGGCAACAAAATGAGTTCAAAGCCAGCCTGAACTGCAAGGCAAGACCCTGTCTCAAAAAGATGAAGAAAAAACAAAAACAACAACAAAAAAAAGGCCCAGGTTCAGGACATTATACTAATGGAATTCACCATGAACAACAAAGCAAGAGTACAAGCCTGACACTAGAGAAACCTGCTTGCAAATTCCCACTGTGTTCTATCCCCAGTGTGACTGGGTAATTACTCAGCCTTAGCAAATTACCTGCTATACCTCAGTTTCCTCATGTGAAAAATGAGATGATTACCTCTTAGGATTAATGTGCTAACACAGGGGGCCTCTTCCTGCCGAACTGGAGTGCTCTGCACTCGAGGTGCTCCACCGAGGCCTACGCGGCCCTGACCCCAGAGAGCTGCTGCAAGAGGCCGCCTGCCACCCCTCTGCTGGGGTCTCAGCTGAAAATAGATCAGCTCCTGGCTGGAACCAAGGCCACCATATCCGCCTCCTGATTAATGCTATTATGTGTCCTCGGCCCCCTCTCCCTCCTCCTGATTCAGTGCTACTGTAGATTCAGTGACTCATCATCATTCCTGTCACTCCTTAACAGGGCACCACAGACGGTCTCAAGAGTGCTAGGCCAGTCGCCCTTCCTGTCGGAGCGGTACATAACAGGATTCTCCTACTCCTCCATTTTTGCTACCCACTCACAAACTGCCTTACCCCTGGGGCTTCGTGGACCCCCCTCATGAAACAGCTCTCTTATGACTTTTATACACACCCCTCCACCCTTACCCCCACAGGAAAAACACAGCCCTGTTCCTATCAGCCAGATCAAACCATGGTGTTTTATAGGCCAAGTCACATCCCCTGTCAAGCTGACTACAATTTTTAACAACTACTAGTATTATTCAGTTTGTTTGTGTTTTAGTTATACCAATAAAACATATTCTCAATAATAAATGTTCCAACTTTTCATTTATCATCTTTGTATTTTTCAGTTACTGTAGCAATAAAATTTATACTCAGCAGTATGGTGCAATTTTCCTCTGCTAATGGAATTATTTTTTTTTTTTTTGCTTGTGTTTTAAAGCTGCAGAGATAAAATTTACTCCCAACAATATGACTGCTTCTGTTTTTTAATGTAACTGATAAATATAATAACAGAAAACCAACAAACAAATGTCTGCTTCACAGTAAGGCAGAATGGGGGTTCTGCAACCAGACCAGACTCATCTCAGTTACTAGCGTGGGCAAGTTCACCTCCTCTGGGCCTCAGTTTTCTCTCCATGTAAATGGGAATATAGACTGCCTCACCTAACTGTAAAGATCAAGTGCCAGGCACAGGGACTAAGTCTGGGACTGAGTGAACCTTAATTATTAGTAAGTAGGTCCACCTTCTAGCCTTTCTACTGGTTTGTTTTTTGAGACAAGGTCTTGCTATGTAATATAGGCTGGCACTAAACTCAGTAGGTAGCCCAGGCTGGCCTGGAACTTGCAGCAACCCTCCAGCCTCGGCCTCTGGAGTGCTGGAATTCCAGGAATACACCACTGTGCCCACCTTATCCTTTCTTTTCTTGTAGAATACGGGCTAAGAGACAACATTAAGAGCTAAGGAGAAATCGGTCTAATCTAGCTTTCCACTCAACACAAAGAAAGAACATTCTATAAACACTATAATCATTACTTCAACATTTCCTCTCATTGTTTCCATCCAAATTATAGTTCTAGAAGTTTGGGTTTCTCCTACGAAGGATCCCGTCTAACCCCTACTTCTACATGCACACACCAAAAATTCTAACACTGAAGAAAGGAGCAGGCAGCGTTACCTTAATAAACATGGTTTCCACCAACAACTATCAACCACAAACACACTACGGATGCTGGGTCATCAGGGACAAAGGGAAAGACACTTCTGCAGGCTACAGGAAAGATACTGTCACCGAATGACCATATGACGATACTGTGCAGGTACTGCATGGACACATGAGAAATCTTGTGTTACAAGGTAGTGTGTATGTCATGTATATTGTATGACCAGTTCCAGATGTTTGCTGACACATGATTTTAAGAGTAATAATGTTTTCCTTTTGAATTTTTATATAGATGTAAATATGACTACTATAATTATGCATTAGATCCAAAGAATGTCTGAAGTCATCAGTGAGTCTTTAATGATATCCAGCATTTGGATTTGAAGAAAATAAATGCAAATTTTGCAGTGCTCTCTCTCGCCTCCTCTTAATGATAAGTGGGTATTTTGGATAATTCCTTCTTACAGTTTTGTTTTTCACTACAAGATTAAACAACTCATAAGCTGAAAATCAAAAAGAAGGGAGGGCAAAAAAAAAAACAAAGCATGAAGCCTAGTGCTGGACCTGACATGGGGAGTTGTATTCGAATCACATTTCTGGCCGAGACTCATGGCTCTTCCCTTCCCCAGGCCTACATCCTGCTACAGTGTGGGATTCCTTGGCACTTGCCTGGCTCCCAGGACAATGACGCCACCTAAACAGATGTGAAGTGCTCTACAAACTGCAAAGGGCTCTGGGTAAGGGTTGCCACTGTATGCCACAGGCTTGAGGAGGCTGATGGGGGTGGGGGCCGTGTTTCATCTACGATTTGAACCTTTATGAAAGCCAGAGTGATAGGGCAGCACTGGGCTGGGCTGCGTGGGTGGACACCAGGAAGAGATCTGCAGGGGCAAAGTCGCGGCAGCAGCAGCGGCGGCAACAAGAACAGCTGGAGCATCTCTGAACTGCATTTGGAACAAAGAGGTGGTGGAGAGGTAGCTGAAGAGGTAGAGTTACTGTGAATCATTCTTAAACTGAGCTCCTAAGCCTGGACAGGAGCCACTGTTGACATCCCTCGTGCCCAACACAGAGCTGCTGATTCCGCTTCCTAAAGGTCCTTTCTAGCCACGCGCCCGACTCCACCCCTCGGCCCCCGCCTACCCCGACTGGCCTCCTACCTCATCTCCCTAGCTCCACACGAGCCCCTCTTGCCATGCCTTTCCACCAGCAACAGGTCGGAATAACAACAGAAAAGCAAAGCCCCTTGGCAATGACACTTGCTTATTTAATCTGAGGGTAACAACCAAATCTCCAGTGTTGCAAGCTTCTCATGTTTCCTCAGACATTCCTTGCTCTTTGAAGACTCAATTCATCTAGCTGCTTCTTCCAAAGTATGACTCCGGCTTCCCCTCAAATGTCACCGCACGGGGTCACGTTCCCTGCTGTGTGTACGTCTATGTCTATGGGCCGGCTGCACAGCTGTGCACTCTCACTGCTCCCTTTACCTTTTCAGTTTCCACTGTACCCCTCGGAACCCTGTCCACAGCAGCACGGAGTAGCTACCTAATACGTACTTCCTGAATAAGTTAATAAACCTGATCAGATCACAAAGGGCCTTCAACAGTAGGCGGACGCATCCAAGGCGAAACACAAGCCCCCAGAACACTCCGTCCTACATGCTGGCACCGAGGCACGCACACGAGTCTTTGTGGGCTGGGATTTCCATGTGTGCAGCAGCCCTCGCTATTTTGAGATTGGACTTTTGCAGACTCACTGTTAGGCGGGCTTTCAAAAAATATTAATCTACATTATTTATCGCAGATTTTTTGCTGTATCATGGCATTTTGCGGACGATACAGTATACATATGTTGTTAAAATTTCATAGGCTTATGAGTTTAGAAAATGGTTAAGAATATTAGAAGTGTTTTTTAAAGCGTAGGAAAGGTTTATAAGAGTGTGGAAAGGGTCTATAAAGCCTCAAAATATATATAAATACTAACATAAATATAATGTCACTACTTTGCTGATTTTTAGTTATCGTGGGGGTGTCTGGAACGTAAGCTCTGCAGTAAGTGTGGGACCCTGTAAGTGCTTAGCTAAAAGCAAGACCCAGCCCAGACCTGCAGCAAGAGGGAAATGGGGATGAGTCAGATCAAACCGTATTACTGATCTTTAGGTCTTGTAAAGTTCACATGCTTTGCTGTACAGAGAATGACGTACTTCCAAAAAATTAACAACAACCAACCAAAAAATAATTGTTAATCTGACTCTATTTTTTTTTTTACTCTATTTATTAATTCATCTGTTCATTCAGAAAACGCCATGTGTCCGAGTTCAGCAGAAGGCAAGCCTGGGCCTGTGATCAGTTCAAAGCCAACACAGGCCAACGTCCAGCTGCTGGACCCCGCAGCAAGGCGAGGAACGGTCCTGGCCTGGCCCAGAGCAGCGCAGCTGTGCCGTGAGCCAGACGTACGCTCCTGGCCGCCCGCTAGGAGTGCTGCTGCCAGACAAGTAAAGCACTGCCACAGAAGCTCCTGGCACCCTAGGAGAGGCAGGACGGCAACCTATCTCTCCTCTCCACCACACTTAATAAACATTTCCTGAAGAAGTTAACAATCTGGGCAGATCACAAAAGGCCTTCACCAACTGGTGGACATGTAAGAACTGGGACACGAGCCCTAAACACTCTATGCTGGCTGTGGGTACTGAGCATGCACAGAAGCCCTTGTTAGCTGGGGTTTCCACATGCAGTGCAAAACTGAGCACACTTTGCTGTCACCATGTGTCCCAGCAATCCCCTCTGTCGTCCTCCTCCATTACCTGCCACTCATTTATAGACCTGATGATTCTCACTCCACTCATTTTTGGGAGCAAGGCAATGACTCTTTAGATTTTCCGTGTGGGGCTCAAGTAATTACACAATAATGGTAATGATTGAATGAAGAACCAACTGATCTATGGGTTATAGTCTTTAAACTACACTTGTTATTCAAACAATATTGGGTCAGATGTGGTGGCACACACCTGTAATCCCACCACTTGGTTGACTGAGGCAGGATCCTTTAAGCCCAGCCTGGGCTACAAAATGAGCTCAAAGCCAGCCTGAGGTACATGGTGAAACCCTATCTCAAAAAGAAAAACATCAAAGCATATTTGAATAAATGAACTAATTAATGAAAATACTCACTGAAAATTTTTTCTAAGTAACAGAACCCCTTTCAAACAAACTATTACAAGGACCTGCCACACAAGTAATAGATTTTTCAAAATTTTTAAAAATATTTATTTGGTACAGTGTCTTGCTAAGCAACTCAGACTCTAGTGATCCTCCTGTGTCAGCCTCCCCAGTGCTGGGATTACAGGCGTGCACACCCAGCATGGTATGCAGTACTAGGGATCAAACCCAGGTCCTTGTGCTTGCCAGGCAGGCACTTAGACCACTGAGCTATCTCTGTGGCCTACAAGTAACGGATTTTAACACCAGTTAGCTCTGATGGAAGCCGCTCCTCCCTGCCTGCCTCATCTTCCAGGACCTCCTCAGATACACTTGACTTTTACTACAAGGAGAATGAATGTAGATTCACATTCTCAGTAATTGTTTACCAAGGAAAGGAGCCAGACACGAAACAGTACATATTTTGTAATTTCACTTATATAATATTTGAAAACACAACTAAGCAATCAGAGTAAAAGTGATCAGAACAATGGTTATCTTGGGGGACAAGGCTAAGTTATTAAGAGCACAAAGGGGGGTTCTAAGGGCTCATAACATTCCACTTCCTGATCCAGATGGTGACCCCATGGCATGTGTGGCTTGTGAGACTCCATCATCCTGCACACGCAGGCCCTCTTCACCTTGCAGGTAGCATGTTAGACTTCAACAGCTGGATGCAAAGTAATTAGGGAAAAAGTAAAACCTCCTAGAGGGGCCTCAAAGGCCAGTTGGAGAACAAAGGTTTAGCGATGCTCTTGGTTCTGTGTCAGCGACCTGCCTAGTGGCTACCCCAAGAAGCCCTGGAGGCCTCCAACTTTCTGACAGGATGACAGATACTCACGAGGCTTTGATGAGCAGCTGCTCTTTCTCATGAAGCTCCCGCTTCAGGCTCTCCACTTCCACCTTGAGCTCAATGTTCTTGCACACAAGATAGGAAAAGAAAAGACACAGCGTAAGATCCAAGACTCGAGGGCCCTCGGTGGGCAAACCACTTCCAGCCAGACTGATGACACAGCGCTCGTAATGGCATATGTTAGATTCCAAACCCTCACTGGCCTCGAGGCACAGGAAAAGGGGAATTATTAAACACTGGTGGTCTCAAAAGAAAACTCCGGATTTCTCAAGACTTGGAACAACTATGTAAATGTTCCAAGCTCCCAACAGCCAAGCATTCAAATATCAAAGCATAAATGTCACACAAGTGAGGCTGATTTAGAAACTGTTTGCCCTCCAACAAGCAAATTTACACTTTGCTTTTACCATACCAAGGCAATTACTTCTGCTTGTTTACAATCATGCATGTGATGGCGGTAGCTGTGGGAGCATGTTACAGCTTAAAAAAATAATAATGGCTAAGTGGGAGGCCACATCATGGCCTGTCTTATTCTAGTATAAGATTTCAGGGCACTTATTTATAAAAATCCACAAGTGAACAGGGCAAGCTGTCTCCAAAGGGCACCATGGTGCTCTCCAGCGAACTGTCTTTCTCTTAACTCACTGGAACAAAGGGAGTCACACATGGCCCTGGGCCTAAAACTCATGTGGAAATCCAAAGCCAGAATCCCTGGCAGATGGACTGCAACGTGAGACAGTAGAGCAGCAGTGGGCCTCTGACATTGCCCACCATGGATCCCGGAAGGAATACGTCACGCAGTAGAGACCTGGGTGCATGGTTTGGAGAAGACTGCTGTAAATCTAGGTTTTCTCTGAATTCTCTCCCCTATCTAATAATTCATGTTAATTTTACACTCTACTTCATAATATGTAATATGATTTTAAACATAACATTTCTAGTCCAATTTACCATCTCAAAGACCAAGCCTGCCCCCTTCCTCCCAGGAACCCCTGGGAGAGCAAGTAACACAGTCAAAACCACAGCAGAGTGGCAAGACCATGGGCACAGGGCCAGAGGCTCAAGGGTTCAAAGTCCAGGAAAGGACGGCAGTACAGAAGTGCACACTCTTTTACTCATTTCTCCCCTCCACACCTACCAAGTACGTGTGACCGGCCTAGCACTGAGGACAAGGGAGGGAACAGGACAGGCAGAGGCCCCACCTGCACACTACCAAGGAACACAAATCTGGAGGTGTGACACTGTACCTGTCCTTAGAAGTGCAAGTCCAGGAGGCAGAAGGCAGTATTACTCCTTTTGGACACCCCTCCCCCCCCACAAGAATCAAGTGAAAAGGCCCACACAACCCAGGAGATTTGGGAGCTTACTAAGCCAGCAAATGAGAAAAGCCTCGATTGTTCTTTTACTGTCAAACAAGAACTAAAGAAGACTCGGATTCAGCACAAATTTTTTCTGGAAGAAACTGACCTTTGCAGAAAGGATACTGAGTGGCAGCATAAAGTACTTCAAGAGTGCTCTGTGAAAGCTACAAAAATGCCCTAAAACAAAAGATTCCTTTTCCGGCTCTCACAAGGGCAGAGCTTCGGGCCTGGCAACAACACACATTCCAAGAGCTCTTCCTACAAGTCAGGTGGCACCTCAACCTACCAAATCTAAAAAGAATAGAAAACTCAAACGCTCATAGACTTCTTTGCTCAAAGCTAATACCCATTGATCACAGACCTCTTTGTGTAGCCATAAAATCCCTCTGATTAACAAATACTATTGGTTGGCTCTTGGAGCCAAGACTGGGAGAACATACTTTCATGGCACACTGTTTTTTAAAACTTAACTGAAAGGGGAAGGGGGAATTAAATCCAGTCAGACAATGGAATAGAAAAGCTGAAGCACTCCAGTACACAGACAGGCAGCCCCGGACTCCAAATCCACCTCACATAATGGCTTTCCGACATCCAACGAGTTCCTGGCCCTCCCGAGCCTCAGCTGCTCCCTGAGTCTTATGAGGATAAGCTCCACTGCACAGGGCTGTCCTGAGAACTGTGACAAGATGACAAACATACAAACCCCCACGATGGCGCCGACCCTGTGGGCCACAGACATGCTTTAGCTCAGAAATTCAGAGATGCATGACTACACACTTACACCAAAAATGCTTTCGACCACTGGTTTTCCTCTGCAGTGCTGACTGCACCACCACAGCCTTCCAGAAAAGGAAACATCCCCATTGTCTTTCCACTCCCCACACCGAAAAAAATCATGCCTTCAGGAACAAGGGAGCTTTTCAGCTCTTGAAAAGGCTCAGGACAGAACAATCCGTCTTCAAGTAAAGCCATTTAAGTTCCTCTGCTGAAACTCAAGGAGAGCTCTCTTTCCCACTTCAAAAGTTTCCACTGGTACAAACTTCAGAGGACAAAAGACAGAATTATTCCCAGGCCAAGGGCTAATCTACCAGAATAAGCTAAGAAATGGGCACCAAAATATTGTTTGTACTCGTGTCTTTTCAAGAAAGCCAAGTTCTTTTTTCAACTTTCAGAACCAAGGTTTGTTTTCAGACAAAAAACCTCCAGGTCAAGACTTCAAATAGGAATAAGCTTCTTTCTGACAGTTCTAGGCAAGCACAAAAGAATACCGAAGAGTCAAACCACAGAAAAACTGACAATCCGAACTCTGGGCGGCCAGAGAAAGCCTCCCTAAGACAGTAACGGCAATTGTCAAGCACTGACTGTGTGTGGAGCTTTGCAGCTGTCATTCCATCTTAATCCACACAAACGACCTGCGACAGAGATCTTCGCTCAGCTCTGGGGGCAGCCCCAGGCAGCTGAAGGGACTTGCCTAAAGTTACCCAGTTAGTGGGTTAACAGGATCCATTCCAAAGCCATTCCGACAGTTCATTGCCTGTTTCTAAATAATGAATAATTGTACATGGGCAATTGAGATTAAGACAGTGAAACAGAATTCTGATGTTAGAAAAAGGGTAAAAAAAACTTCCTCCAAATTAATCGTGTACCTCTTCAATAGGAGGGTCCACCTAATATCTTTATACTCCTCATAATCAATCCAAATTAAAGGAGAGCATCTCCACCTCTTCATGCCAACTCTAAAAACAAGGACCAATCAAGTATCTGCTTGGAACGACTTTGAGAAAAGAAACAGCACAGTGAAGTGGGCCACTCACAGTTTTATAGATGTGTTCGGTGGGGCCATCAAATTCCTGCTGCATTCTCTCTTCAAGGAAATAGATGCGGAGCTTTAGGTTGAAGTTTTCTTTCTTCAGCTCAGTGATGTGCTGCAAAGCAAGCACAGAAGGGTTATCTAAATCAAACAAAAGGCACAGGGTCCAATGAGTGGTACCTACAGTAAACCCCAAGTGGATCTGGATGGTGAATTTTAGAGAGAGCTTACCTTTGCTGCAATTACACCACCCAGAAGACTTAAGTGGCTCCCCCCAGCCAAGTTTAGGGTAATGAATCAGGACAGGAGTGCATGACTAAAGAAAGCATTCATGAGTCCACACCGACCACACAGGGAGAGAAGGCAAGACAAGGAAGAGAAGAATCCCTTCCTTACAAATAAATTCCAGTTAATCAACATAGAAAACAATAGGAACAGAAACTCTACAGTAATAATGGATGAGCCCAAGAATCATCAACACCAGACACATTAGATGAAAGATCACTGTACAACTGTATATTCAGTCCCAGCATGTCCTCCCACAGAGGACTCATTTACTAGAAAAAGAAAGTGCCACTACAATTTAGAAACCTTGAAAATAGTCCAGGATGACAGTTACCTTTGAGGAGAAAGAGTAGGAGGCACTTGGGAGGAGCAAGGAAGGAGATTTCTGAGATTCTAACAGTGTTCCATTTCCTGTCAATGGAGACTGAAATAGGAGTGGGGCTTTTTGTGTTGTTTTTGTATTTTTATCATTTTTATTTATTTTTATTTTTATTTATTTTCATTTTTTATATATCTTTATTAATTTTATTGAGAAACATATAGCAATGAGACAGTTTCAAAACAGGTTAGTAGGACGGTTACAATAATTAATACATTGCACATTGTTGTCTTCATAGTAGTTATCCATAGTACAAGATGCAGACATGATATCCTGTCCAAAAACTCTTAGTCCAAATCTTTCTTCTCACTGAAGAGAAAGTAGTTGTATATCTATCCTAACTATTTTGTATATACAGATACAAAATGGTCCTTCCTTTATATCCCCATTTCTTGTTTAGTTTTGTCAGAGATGGGTATTTCATTGTCACTTAAATATTGTAGGTGTGTGAATTCAGCAAAATATTCCAATATAGCCCAGTAGTCCATAATAGTAGTGGGTTTTCTGTAAGACTGGTAAGGTCAGAAGTTGCTGACTTGAGCCCTTTACAGCTCAGCATATTAATATGGCTTTACTTTTTATGCTTGTTTTTTATACTTTTCTGCTGGGTGGTTAAGACCAAGATAAAGCAAGACTTATATAACAAGAAATGAAATTTTTGTATCTGACAAGGTCAGTCAAATCCCCTCAGGATTTACCCTGAAACCCTGTACCATAGCTTGTAGATCCTTTGAAAGTGTTAGCTATGTGGATGAGTCACAGCCATTGTTGGACCAGTTTGCTCCCTGTGAAAGCCCAAGAGAATGTCTTCTCTCCATGTGACTCTCCTTAGGCTGTGTTGTTTTTTATAATTCATTGAAATGTTTTCATATGTGTGCATCCTGCAGGCATGCTATACTTCAAAAAGTTTTGAGCTTCAATACTCCAGGATTAATTTAAATTATTAAAAGTAAACTAATCTATGGTTAAGTTGTGGTATCTCTACTTAGTGATATATTATAGAACTAATAAAAGAGACCACTTCGTATATTCAGCATTTTCTCCAAGACATTGGGTTAAACAAAAACACTATGATACAGACTAGTGGTGGCGAACCTACGGCGTGTGTGCCTCAACTGCTTGGTTTGCCATTACTGATATAGACTATTACTTATGGTATATTATCGTTTAAATAAAAGATGGGAGAGAGGGGGTATAAATGGAGAACCAAAAGCATTGATCAAAGGGTATGAAGTTTTAGTTAGACAGGAGCCAGTTTTAGTGCTGACTGCAAAAAACTGTGACTCAAAAAATAATTCACTGTGTATTTACAAAATGGGGCTAAGCTTAAATGCATGCTTATTGGCTTGATGCAACGACACACACTGGGAAATACACTGTATACTCTTTATCTTTGAATTAATTGATTGATTGTTTGAGACAGAGTTTCACTAGGAAGTTCAGGCTAGTCTTGAACTCATTTTACAGACCATGTTGGCTTCAAACTCACAGCAAACCTCCTGTCTCAACCCCTCAAATGCTGGGATTACAGGAATGCATCACCATGCCTGGACTTACATTTTGAATTTTATACCACACAAATTCTTTAATAAAAAAATCCAAACAATTTAATAATAGCCAAGTGCAAACTTTTTTTAAGGTGGGCTTATATATCGCAAGGGCTATTTTCCTAAACCCAGTGTGCCTGCCCGCACTATAAGCCACGCATCTGCTGCTCCCGTTCCACTCACAAAGTCCCCACCCACACTCACTTCTCAGAGTTAACAGAACCACCAGGGGCTCTGGAGACAACATGAAGGCCAGTCTTAATTTTTTCATGCCGCAGCTCTGGACAGGTTACCTCCCTTAGCCTCTGTTTCTTCATCTCTAACACAAGGATAATGAAATCAATCTCATGGGTCTTTGTGAAATGGAAGTAAATGCATTTGACTGTAACAAAATGTAAAATTCTTTATAGTGAATGGACTGATCCTTGTAATATGTAATGTCATGTTCCAAGACAGTAAAATATAGATTTAAAATGAGTAGAAGAAAGAAAATTTCAGTAGAGGAACAAAAAGCATAAAAGAGAACCAAACAGAAATTTTAAAACGGAAAAATACAATATTAAAAACAAGTCAGTAGATGGTCTCCAAATATGAAGATGAACTGTAGAGATATCAACGAAAGTTGTTCAGTACAAAAATAAAGGAAAAAGAAAATTTGAAAAACTTAACAAAACTGAGTCAATACCCAAAAGTTCAACATTCATTAAACTCCCTGAATAAAGACAAATAGGAGAAAAAATATAATACATAAGAAATATTTGAAGAAATAATAATTTAGGGGCCGAAGAGATAGCTCAGACGCATAAGCACCTACCTGACAAGCACAAAACCAATTCTGATCCCCCACCCCACGTGCTAGATGCCGGAACGCGCCCCCATCTCAGCCCCGGATGCAGGCACCTGCTGTGTGGCCCCAGAACCAAGCGTGGCAGCACAGGCCTGTAATCCCAGCACTGGGGAGGTTGAGCCAGGAGGATCTCCGTGAGTTCGAGACCAGCCCGGGGGCTACAAAAGTGAGCACAAGGCCTGCCTGAACTGCATAGTGAGACCCTGCCTTAAAAAAAAAGGAGAAGACAAAGGGGGAGAGGGAGGAAAGGGGGAGGGGGAGGGGAGAGGAAGGGGGAGGGAAAAAGAAGTAATAATTTAAAATGTTCTAATTTTGGAAAAAGGTATAAAACACTGAAGAAGCTCACCGAAGAGCAAACAGGATAACCCAAAGAGACCAAAAGCAACTCTTAAAAGCAGCCTGAGAAAAATGGCACCTTGTATGTGAGGAAAGGGACAATGAGTCAAACAACAGCAGACCTCTCATCAAAACCACAGAGGCCAAAGGTAGTGGAACAACATTTTTTAAAGAACTGAAAAAAAAGTTATGCCAGAATTTTATATCCACTTAAACTATCCTTGAGGAATAAAGATAAAATGAAGACATTTTATAATGCAAAAAGCTGATTCATCAGCAATAAATCTGTTATAAAAAGAAAGTACCCGGGTGTGGTGGCGCATGCCTGTGACTCCAGGGGTCAGGGGCTGAGGCAGGACAGTCGCCACAGGATCATGGCAGCCTGGGCTGCGCAGTGAGCTGAGGTCCAGCCCTAAGTACATAGCAAGATCTCGTCTCAAAAAACATAATAATAATGTCATTTAAAATAAAAAGCAACGATAAAGCAACGTTTTTCTGACTAAACAGAAATACAGCAAAAGGGATAGAACTTTAAAAATGGAAGAAAGTGGGTGGGGGAGGGAAGAAAAATAAAAACAAATTGTAAATATTTGGGCAGCTATTCAGAGAACTGATTTAAATGAAAAGCTCAAAATTCTTTTTTTTTTTTTTTTTTTTTTACTTCTTATTGCTATCTGCAGGATACTGATTGTGATACACTTCAGTATGCTTTTCTTTTTTAAATTAATTTTATTGAGAAACAAATAGCAATGAGTTTAATTAATACATTGCATATTGTTGACTTCATAGTGGTTATTCATAGTACAAGATGCAGACATGATATCCTGTCCAAATACTATCAGTACAAATCTTTCTTCTCATTTAATTAAAGAAAGTAGCTGTATATCTATCCTAACTATTTTGTATATACAGATACAAAATGGTCTTTAAGGGGCCAGGGAGATAGCTCAGTTGAATAAGTGTTTGCCTGGCAAATGCAAGGTCCTGAGTTTGATCGCTGGTAAAAAAAAAAAAAAAAAAAAAAAAAATGGTCTCTAAAACATGTATGACAGTCAAAAACAAAACTACAGTGTAGTCTAGTGTAACATATTGGAGGTGGGTGGTAGTAACATTTTTACATTTTCCTTATGATAAAATAAAAAGTTTAGTGTGTGTGTGTGTGTGTGTGTGTGTGTACTTATATTCATACTTTGTAATCCCTAAAGCAATCACTAAAATCTTTTAATAGTTTTTAAATAAATGACACAAAGAGATATATTCAAAAATTTATCAGAGAAACTTAAATGGAGTATGAAAATAATCCAAAAGAGGTTTGAATGGAAAAACAGAAAACAAGTAAGAAAATGGTAGGCCTAAATCACAATATATTGATATGTTAAGTGTAAATGAGATAAACATTCTATGCTACAGAGAACATGAGAATAGATTTAAAGAAAAAAATTTCATGCTATATATTAGGAATTTAAGTATCATAATAGAAGTGGTTAAAATTAAAAGAATTTTAAAAGATATACCATGAAAGCACTAATTAAGAGAAAGCTAACATGGCTATTAACATCAGAAACTGTAGATTGCAGAACAAAGAAAATTATTCAAGGACAAAAGAAAACACTATATAACAATGAGGAAAAAATAATCCTAATGTGTATATGCCTCACATTATACACACCTTCAAATTTATAAAGTAAAAACTAGTAGAAAAGAAAAATGGGCAAATCTTC